AATTTTCCTCTAACTATGGATCAATTAACTTGTTCCTATTATCCACACTTCTCAAAAATGCTGTTTATACTTAGCTCTACTTCCTCCCATCCCAATAATTTCTAATTTTATTCTGAACTAGCTTCTTCCTGTTTCATTATCTTCATTAATGTCACCCTAACATCCTAACGAATACTTTGAAACTCTTTTTAAAGTCTCATATACATATAGAAAAGTGCCTAAGTGTTCCCGGCCAAGAACGATCACATAGCAAATACATCTATGTATCTACCACCTGGTTAAGAAATAGGACATTACCAGCGCCCTAGAAAGAAGCCCTATGGTATTTCCTAATCATTATTTCCTTCTTTCTCCCTAAAGGTAACACCATCCTGACTTCTCATACCATAGATTAATTTCACCTATTATAAGCTTTATATAAATAGACTCTTACGTAATGTACTCTGTGTCTGGCTTCCTTTTCTCAACATTATGTTTGTGCAATGTAGCCATGTTATTGCATGCAGCAGTGGTTTATTTATTTTTACTGCTATGTAGTACTTCATTATGTGAATATATTGCGATTCACCCACTTTACTATAAATAGACATTTGAGGTTATTTCCAGTGTGAGTCTATTTCAAATAAGGTTTCCTTGAACATCTTGTACTTATCTTTTTGGTGCACATGTACACAGCTTTCTTCATCTGCTTTTAAAGAAAGGAAGTTAGTTTGGTTAGGAACACTACAAAATACACTGGGGAAGTTAAGGCACAATAATATGCAACCAATTGAACAGGTTTACCATGAGCAACGATTGTTCTTACAGAGAGATGTGTAAGACAAGGGTCCAGCCCAGAAAAGGTATTTGGGGAAGGGATATGTCCTTGCATGCAGGAATACAGAAAGAATAGGGAACAGAAACAGACTGTAATTAAGTGCAAAATTGCATACGGCCAGAGTAAAGTCAACTTTTAGAATCTCTGGGCTAAGGCTAGACAGTTTAATACTAGGGCTGGATTCCCAATTCTGGCTCACCCATGGTGACTGGAGAGTCACCTGGAGGCCATGACTGGGAAGAGAAAAGAGGGCTGTAGGTCTGGGAGTCAGACCCACAGATCCCAGACATATTTCTGCCAGAGTCCCTTCTTCCCTCTGCCTATGCTCCTGAAACGGACCTTAAAACATTGTGAATAAGGCAACCCCAGATGGACTCTGTACATCCACGCCCTACAGATAATGTCCTGAGAGAGAGCGGGAAACTAGGGCAGATCTCCCAGGAGGAAGTGGGCTTAGCAGACCCACAATGTCATGGCTGATATCTGAAGTTTAAAGCCTGGACATATTTGGAAGTTAATAAGATGTGAAAAGGGAGAAGCAGCAGAAAGGCTGCATTGAAACATTGGGGTTAGAATGGGAGAGGGAACAGCTGCAACAATTACGACAATAATAGTCCCTTAAATTTGTATTATGTAACAACTTAGAAAAAATTTTCTATTCCTGAACTTTCACATTTCTGTGGAATGGCAGGGTTACCCCCATTTTGCTGGTCTGCCCAAGGACAAGTTTGAATGCAAGGCAGGGTCAGGCCCCTAATCCACATCTCCAGTTCCTCCTCAGGAACCTCGCGAGTGAGACGATATGGTCGAGAGGCTAAAGCAGTTGCAGGAGAAGGTGTGGAGGGGTTGGAAAGGTGTGAGGACTGAAAACTCCGTCCTTTTGGGATTAGTTTGGAGCCACCTGGAAGACGGTGACTTCAGCCAGGACACGCGCGTTTGCGGGCTGCGGGGGGTTAGGTAAGTCAAGCCTCCCCGGGAGCCCCACGGAGGGTGGGAACGAGATGGCGCCGCCCCGTCCCGGACGCGCGTCGAGCGCCCTCTGCCACCCCACGCCGCCCTGCCCAGGGCGAGGGCAGAGCGGGCCCGCCCAGGTGCGCCCGGAGGTTGGGCCGGAGCCCGGAAGGTGCGCCGCGCCGCCCGAACCTGTTCCCTCGGCCTCCCCCCGCGTGAAAGTGAAAGTGTCGGACCCGCGGAGGTCAAGGATAGGGGGGTGGGGCCAGCGCGGAGCTGGGAGCGGGCGCCGGGCACTCCAGGGGCCATGGATGGGCTCGGCCGCCGCCTTCGAGCCAGCCTGAGACTGAAGCGCGGCTCTGGGGGTTAGTGCCGGCCGGGGAGAGCGCGCAGGGACGGCGTGAGCGCCGGGGAGCCGGGGCTAGGGCTGGCGGCGGGGGCCCGGGGGAGGGCGGCACCGGGCGTCGAGATCCGGGAGCGGTTGGAGGGGGACTCAGGAAGCTGCGCGGGGGCAGGTGAGCGGGAGAGAGCGCGGGCAGAAGGGAGAGAGCCAGGTGGGGGCGGGGGCTGGAAACGGCGGCCGGGCCAGGCCTGCAGGGGCGAGGGGAAGGCGGCGGGACACAGGAAACCGTTGTGGGGCCCCGGGGCCACGTGTCCTTCCATCCAGGAAGCTTGTGGTGCAACCGCAGTGTGCCTGAACGCGCCCCGGTAGTGGTGCCCTCCCAGAGGCACCGCCTCAGCTCCTGGCGTGCCCGCCGCCCCGCCCCACCTCGCTGCCTTGGTACCCCTCCGTGGCCTTTGCCCAGTTCCTCCGAGTCAGCGCCCCTGCGCCTGCTCCTCAGATAGCCACCGGCCACCAACCCCGGTCTCCCCAATGACTTTACCACCCCCAGCCCCGCGGTCCGGTGCTCCTCCGAGTGTGGCCTCCAGCGGAGCTGCGGTGGAACCTGCACAGCTGCTGCTTTCCAGCGTGTAGCTCAGACAGGGCACCCCCTTCCTTTTCCCTCGGCCCCGCAACAGTGAAATGGATGTAATCCCCCCGTCCAGGATTGTGGGGATTAAATTAGAAGTCAACTAAAGAAGCAGCTTCTTTTCTTTCTTAGCAGAGCCCTGGGGCTTGGAAGGAGGGCAGTTAGAAATTCATTCATTTATTCAGCAAATATTTGTGTGGTTTGCCACCAGCCAGTCCAATGGCTAAGCAGCCACGACCCTTAGATACTTTGCTCAGAGGTCCCGCCGTCTGAGGAGCAAAGAGTGGATTAGAAAGTGAGCAGGGGGCATTCCCAGACCACCCGCCCCTTCCAACATTGGCACGCCAGGAGGCCACATGAGCCCCTCTCTTAGCCCAAGCCCTAGAGGGACTTGGGGGGGGACCCCAGGGAGTGAGGTCAGCCCTCCCTTCTTTGAACTGCAGTGACCTCTGATTCTGAGTAATCTGCTCTTAGTCCTGTGCAAATTCCTCCTGACACACCCTGCCCCTTCCCCATTTGCAGTGTCCTCTCTAGACACAGATCTCCAATATCTGGCCATTCCATCTGGGAGAGGTCAGAGACCACAGGTTGGGGCAGAGGGCTGGGACCATGCAGTGGCGGGAGCAGAAGGCAGGATGAGGCTGACATTGTCTGTTCTCTGGAGAGCACTGGCCTGGTCTGTCCTGGTCTTCCCAGACCCTGGGACATCTGTGTGAATGGAAGGGGTCTGCCCCGTGCAGCCCAGAGGAGACATTCCCGTTGTTCCCACCCACCCCTACCCCAACATGAGGTCGATGATTGTGCCTGGAGGCGCTTCCCGATACCGAGGAACTGTAAGAACTGAAGCCTAACACTTGTCGGGCCAGGAACGTGTGACCTCTTCATCTTCCATACCATCCTCCATCTGCCTGGGGATTCTCCCCTTCCTCTTTCAGGCCCTAGGGCAGTTGTATATTAGGGGGGAGGGAGGGTGTGTGTGTGTAAGTACCCTGGTGACCTGGAGTGATGTGATAGTGGTCCTGGGTTGAGCTGGAAGGGTTGGACCAGCTTTCCAGATCAAGGTTCCAGCAAATATTCTGGAGGTCCCCTCGCCTATATTTCAGAAGGTTCCCTCACCTATATTCTAGTCAGATCTGGGACTTCAGTCAGGTGCCTGTGGGAGAGGCTTTCTGGGTGGAGGAACAAGTGTGACCAGATTCCCGATTTCCCTAGAAAGGGTGGCTCCCTCCTCAACTAAAACTCAGGATAATACTTCGTTTCTAGGGCACTGGAGATTAAATGAGATGCCTTATGCGAAACATAGGAGTTTGATGTGTGTTAGTTTTCTCTTATGCTTTTCTCTCCTGTTGATAACCCCTTTTGAAAGAGGAGAAAACAGTGTTTTGCTGCATTTCTTAAGCCTTATCCCCAAAGTCTAATTACTTTCTTTTGACAATGATTTCTTAATTTTGCTATTCTCTTGGCTCTTGTAATAAAGCAGAAGAAAATGAACTGAAAATGCAGCCCAGAGGATTTAGGGAAAGGCACAGTTTCCTCAGAATCTGGAATGATCGGTGATAAGGTTCTGTTTCTCACTGTCCTTTGAAAATCTCTGTGGGATAGCCTAAGAGATGCAGCCAGAGAGGAGGAGCGTGGATTGGGAGCTTTCCTAATTCCCACCCCCACAAATCCTGCCAATTTTAATAGCTTTTGAATTACTTTATGCCTCAGCTTCCCCATCTGTATCAGGAAGATGCTTGTTTCTCAGAAGGGTGGTAAGGATTGTGCAACAAGTCTGTGCAGCTTGCAGGTAAGGCGTGGTGCCAGCTCCAAGTGTTCTGGTTCACTCTTCTCACCCATTAAAGCATTTGAACACCCTTATTTACTGTAAATGAGCTTGGCCATGAGTCCTGGCTTTTACTAGTGCCACAGAAGCCAGGTCTGGACCACTTAGGAGCAAAGCATCTGTTTACCCTATCCCAGCACCCCATTCTCTTCCAGAGGGCTTCTTCTTTTTCTTCTTTTTTTTTTTTTTCAGCTGGAGTAAAGTGGCATGACCTTGGCTCACTGCAGCCTCCATCCCCCGGGTTCAAGTGATTATCCTGCCTCAGCCTCCCAAGTAGCTGGGATTACAGGCGCCTGCTACCACGCCTAGCTAATTTTCGTATTTTTAGTAGAGACAGGGTTTTGTCATTTTAGCCAGGCTGGTCTCAAACTCCTGACTTCAGGTTATCCACCTGCCTCAGCCTCCAAAAGTGCTAGGATTATAGGCATGAGCCACCGTGCCTGGCACCCGGCCTGGCTGCATATTCTAAAAGAAGTGGCCCCAGAGGGTCCTTTTGCCTCCTGCTTTCCCTTTAAGGCAGCTTCCTGGCAAAAGTCGTGCATTTACTAATTCAGGGGTTTCTATGAGAATCCAAGGTGTTTTTTTGCTATTCTTTCTCTCTTCCCTAGTCTCCAGACACAGCAGTGGGCTAGCAGCTTAGCTTGTAGCTTGGGCAGAACAGCTGACCTGGCCTGACTGGGAGGAAGGGTGAGCAGAAATAGGGGTTGGGTGGAGATCACCCGGATGCCTTCCACAGAATCGCTCTCAAGCTGCTGGTGCAATCAGCCTCCTACCTTAGGCTGGGGACAGTCTTCTGAGTCAGTGCTTCCTATTTGGGAAGAAGGACTCTGCTGGAGCCCTGGAACAAATGCCAGTGACAGAACTCTCTGCCTTAGCCCACAAGATGTATTGCAGGGGGTGAAATTTACCAGTGTAGCCATTTCCAAAATATCAAGAACTCTCGGCTTAGAGATGGACTTTACTCTCTCCTGCACCATCAGAAAAGGAGGCTTTTGGGTATTGATTTCCAGAACTCCTTCTTTTGTTGGAAGAGTTAATATATTTGGTTAATTATTAGGCCAAGTCTATTTATCTTAATCAGGGGAGGACAGTGGCATCGTGGCTGCAGAGAGTGTTTGGCCATGTGCTCTCAGTCGGGAAGTCCTGGAAGTTCTAGGATTCAGCAGGTGGCCTTGCTGGGGTTTTTGACTTCCGTTGACCAAGTTGAGAAGTGAAAGGTCAGCAATCCAAGTGATGGGGATATAGGATCTCTATCCTGAGACCAGCGAGTTTCCAGTGCCCATAGTCTGATGCTATCAAGCACTATCCACTGTTCTGAGGTTGTGAATAAGCTCTGTGTACAATTTGCAGCCCAGATTCAAAACCCTTAGCCCAGAACTAGTCAGGCCTTTCTGGCTACTTTCAGCCAGAGGTGTTTGCTCATGACCTTTTTTCTCACCACACCCTGGGGCCCTTGGGAGGAGCTGAGATCTGCGCTGCAGTGCCAGGATGCTGACTCTCTTGGTGCTGGCTTCTGCTGCCTTCCTGGGTTCTGTCACATCCTTCTTGCTCAACCACTGGGTGCACAGGATGGAAACTGCTCTCCCCTCTCTGGAAAACAGCACATGGCTTAGCTTCACAGAGTTGTGGCTGGAGTCCGAAGCAGCAGCCCCTTTCTCAGACTTTCTGTCACCAGTCTTTCTGTGTTAGGGGAGAGGGGAGTCTGCTCTGCCCTGAAGGTCCAGCAATGGAAGGACAAGTGGTAGGCCGGGCATTCAGGCTCCTCCGACATCGACTGCTTCGACCCAGAGCAGGTCAGGACCGGACTGCCCACTTCCTTGTTTTTGAGGTGACCCTCTTAGGCGGGACTATTTCTTCTTTGAAATCCTCCTTCCTCCTCTTCCTTTATCTCTTGGCCTCCACATGGTTCCCCATGTGACTGGACCAGGAGGTTTCCTCTGCTGGTTTTTAAGACTGGTCATGCCCTCTGTGGGGCTAGTGTGGTCACAGTCACATGCCCCTTGGGCCTGTTCTTATTCACCTAGTATGAACTAAACTCTCAGGGCATATTGTGCCAGGACTGCCAGGGGCATCCAACAGGCTAGGCAGTCTCTGTGGTACCCCGGGGCCTTGGCCTTCTTGTGGCCTATCCAGCATATTTCTGTGGCTTCTGCATCGGTGGTTTCTTTCCTCCTCTTGGCTTCCCATGGTTTCAAGTATCCCAGAGCAGCTGTGGAAACTGCCCATTTGGCCCTGATCCTGAGTGTCTGGTTGTGCTGGACAGTGTCCAGGTATCTCAGCATTGGCAAAGAGGCCTTGAGGTGTGGAGGTCACTCAGATTCTCACAGACTCCACTCCAGGAATGGATCAATGATATTATACTAAATGGGCTCTGGTGTCTCGGTTTCAGGACCGCCCCAGGACAATTCAAAGGAAGCTTTAAAGGAACCAGAAAAGCCCCAGGAGCACCCTCTGCCCAACTTTGCTGGGGGGCAGCACTTCTTTGAATACCTTCTTGTGGTTTCTCTAAAAAAAAAGCGTTCAGAGGATGATTACGAGCCTATAATCACCTACCAATTTCCTAAGGTAAGGACTGAGGGAGGGGGCAGGGGTAGCCAGAGGACTGGGATGTTTAGAAGGTGGTAGGCATGGGCATTCTACCTCCTTCTCTTCACCCTGCCAGGGCTTGCGCCTAGAGCCTCCCTGAGCTCCAAGTTCGCTGCTCTCCATTTCCTTCTTAGCACAGCCCCAGTTCTGTTATCACCCGCAGAATCTAGGTCTAACTTCTTTGTGAGGGACTGACCTAAGCGTCCTAGCAGGGAAACTAGGCTAGATCAGTTTGCTTTTAGGGGACCTCACAGGTCTTCCAAATCCCATTTTCAGTCACCCTTCTCTGTAGATAAGCTTGCCTTCTGCCAGACCTTCTAGAAGGAGTCCCCTCTCTGGGATGTGTGGGAAGGAGAGAGTGGGGCAGGCATGTAACTGGTGGTCAGGCACAGCCTTCAGCCTGAGCCCAAGCATCAGACTCCTTCTTGTCTGATCCTACACCAGGTAAAGGGGTGGGAATCCTCATTAACCCTTCTCATTAGCAGGTGTGCCACTGAGCTGGCCACTTCTCTTTTCTGATGTGGTACCTCTCTGATGCGGTCCTCCTAGGGGCCATTTCAGGGCATTTCTATATTCAACATGGCCCTGTCCCCTTCTTATGTAGATCCTCAAGATACTGAGGTCAAACTCAAGCTTATGTCGAGTTGACCCAGGAGGAGCTGTTTCAGCTTTGGAGTTGTTCCAACCAGACCCAGAATGCAAACTGCAGAGTGATGGGCAAATGCACCCTTCATCCCTATGCTAGTGGAGAAGCTTATCCCCAGACTGCTTTAGAGCCTCAAAGGAAGCCCACCACCTCTCAAGCCCTCTCCTCCTTACCTCTGCCCCCAGCTTCATATCCACTTGTCTTTTCCTTTTCCTAACAGCGGGAGAACCTGCTTCGGGGTCAGCAGGAGGAGGAGGAGCGGCTGCTCAAAGCTATCCCCTTGTTCTGCTTCCCAGATGGTAATGAGTGGGCATCACTCACTGAGTATCCCAGGTAATTGCTCTGCCCTGGGCAAGGGTATTGGATTTGGGGAGGAGGAACAAGTGTGAGTTCTGTGGCTCATGTAGCCTCCCTCATTGCTGTCATTTGTTGATTTTTCAGTCTGGGAGTGGAATTGATTTGTTTGTAAACATCTGGGGTTTACAAACAAATGGCCTGGGGTTCCTCAAGTCCAGGGATATTAGCTATCAGTTTGATCAGTCCCTTCTGCCCAGAGAGCCAGAATCTCCCACCTGTCCTAGAAACAATAGTTGCTGCTTTTGACTCTGCTGCTGGTTCAAGCTGGGCTTAGCAGAAGGCAGTTGGCCTCTAAGAAGGCAATAGCAAAGGCCCTTCCAGCATAAGCCCTGGAATTCAGCTGCTGGAGCTTTGACATCACCATTTATGAGTTGAGTGACCTTGAATTAGAAATAGCCTCTCAGAGCCTCAGTTCCTTCATCTTTAAAGTGGGAATAATAACTGAAGCTACCTCAAGAGTTGTTTTGAGAATTAGATGAGATGATGTGTCTAGAGCTTGATTAACTTGACTCCTATGATTAATCAGCTCCTCTAATGCTGACCACTTTCCTGTTTCAGAATCCGGTGAGCAATGCAAATCAAGGCTTGTCTGCTCTTTCTTAGGGAGACCTTCTCCTTCGTTCTGACCAATGTGGATGGGAGCAGAAAGATTGGATACTGCAGGCGCCTATTGGTCTGTGCAGCCTAGAACTGCCCCTTCCTTTCTGAAGCCTGCTCAGCTCCACAGCTGGGCTTGCTCAAGCCAGAGCTGCAGAAGTCCAGTCTTGTTGGCAGCACTGGTTGTAGAGAGAGCACAGCCCAGGACCTGCTGCCATGCTAGTGCTCCCTCTGCAGCTCCACAAGCACGAGGACCTGATGCCCCTTCTCCCCCTGCTGGTTAGGCTCTGGTCTGTGTTCCTCCTGGCTTTCAATAACGCTCTTCTTTGTGAGAGGTTCCAACTGACTCCTCTGTCTCCCTGCTCTATCCAGGCCTGCTTACCTTGGTCCCTGGAGCCTCCCAGAGCAGAGGCTGGGATTTGGACAATTAGTTTCAAATCTTAGGTCTCAGGAGGATTCCCCAAGTCACCTTTACAGTGCCTTCCTCCTTAGCCCTTTCTTCATCTCTAAGGCACACTTGCTCCCTCTCTTTGCTGACCCCAAATTATGCTGGCACTGAAGGCAGCAGCATTTGCCCACCAACCCACCCAGTACCCTCAAGGATTTCTTCTTTTGACCTTGGTGGCTACTCTGACATCCCTGCTGCACCCACCATTCACTATAAATTCCCCCTCCCCAGCCCTCAGCCTTGTACTCCTTCAGACCCAGTTGGGAGAAGCCCTTGGGGAGGCTGCGGCACTGAAGGAGCCTCTCTGTCTCTTCCCAGCCTGCCGGACCTGGCCCTCGCCTACCCCAAGTGTACTGCATCATCAGCTGCATTGGCTGCTTCGGCTTGTTCTCCAAGGTAGGGGTGGAACAGGATTCCTCAGGGCCTGTTAGTCCTGTCCATCTTCCGGGCTCTCTCTGACTGCCAGTCCTGCCTGCGCAACCTAAGCCCTTAGTGGAGCTCTTCTCCCATAGCCAGAGTCAGCATTAAAGCACACTTAGGGAAACTGAGGCAAAGGGGCATGCACTTAAGAGAAATGTGGAAATTGAATCTAGGGGACTGGATTCCTTGCAGAGATAGCCACTGTTCCCACTCTAGCCAAGTAAGAAAGTAGTTGAAGTAGGACAAGGGGAAGAAACTCAAACGCCTTCTACCCTGAGGTTCAATTTCCTCATCTGTCAAATGGATATAATAATCTTTCACCTTCCTATCTTGCTGGTTGATGTGAGGCTTAAATGAGGTGATATATGAGAAGACTCTTTATAAAAGGCAGAGCACTAGACAAATATGAGGTAGACTCATTCTGACTCCTTCAAGGGTAGAAGAACAGTTGAGGTCCCCAGGACTTCTTCTGCTGGAGCTAATTTGAGCGCCAGTGCATCTGAGTCAGGATTTAAGCAGAATCCATGGGGCCATGCGATCCATTGGTGGCCAGAAAGGACTTCATTATGCTCTGCTTCCAGCAGGACCTTTGGAGGAGGCAGAGAGGGAACTCTGTCAGTTTTGCTGGGGCAGTGCATTCCTTTGTGTAGTGTTCCTAGGGATGGAGGCAGCCTCTGACCCTGGGAATCTACAGCGGGAGTTGGAGGACAGAGTGGTACTAAGAGGCTTAGGCTTCTTGGCTGCTGCTCCAACCAGCATGACTGGACATGGTCCCATCATGGGTGATGAGTTTACTTTGAGATGACTTCCCAGGGAGATACTTTTATGTTGGTGTTAGAAGAGGGGAAGACTATGGATTGGTAGAGAGAGAATAAAAAGAAGGAAGCTAGATAAAAGCAGTCTCATGTGGGAGATAAACCACAGATTATTTAGCATGAGCCCAGTCTCTGCCAGGGAGGGAGAGGACCAGTTTTTGGAGGACCCTAAAAGATACATGAGGATCCGCTGAACCAGTGTGAGATGCTTAGGGGCACAGAGTCTTGGCCACCTGCCCAGTAGTGTCCCTTTGAGCCATGCCTCCCATGGTTCTTTTCTTTTCCCTGCAGATCCTGGATGAAGTGGAGAAGAGACATCAGATCTCCATGGCTGTCATCTACCCGTTCATGCAGGGCCTCCGAGAGGCAGCTTTCCCTGCTCCTGGGAAGACTGTCACTCTCAAGAGCTTCATCCCTGACTCAGGCACTGAGGTGGGTTAGCAAAATGGGTGAGACCTTCTCTAGCTGGAGAGCATAGGCATCTGTGGCACCTCTCACCACTGTTGTACTATTAACCAGGTTAAAGTACAGAGAAACTGAGCCAGACAGGGACTGGGACTGGTTAGAATGGACAAAGCTGAAATCAAACGCAAATTTTCTGATCCTAACTTGATACCCACAAGCATTTAGTTACTGCTCAAGCCACCAAGACTCTTATTTATAATAAATAAACCATGTAACTGGAGGCTTCTGGCGCTATAAAGGACTTTCCCCCTAGGCACTAGACTGCCACTTGCCCCCACCCCCACACCATTCCCCTTTGTTTGTCCTGTCTCCACCTTACACCCGCCATCTGCCCGTTTCTTATCATCCGTCCCCACTTCCGAGTATCCACCCATGCACAGGGGAATGCTATTGTTTTAAGGCACCAAACACACCGAGGAAGCAGGTACAACACTGTTCTAAGAATTCCAGTCCTGACTCCTGGAACTCTGAATAATCTGCATACCCCTTTGAACCTTGGCTTCCCCACAAGAAAATAAGGGGAGAGGCTAGAAGTTTTCACTTTCTCAAAAAAAAAAAAAAAAAAAAGTACTGAATGCTTGCTGTGTGCCAAGCTATACTATTTTTCTGGGAATACAATGGTGACCAACATGAATGTGGACCCTGATCTTTTGGAACTATAAGTCCAGTGGAGGAGGCAGATGTTAAATAAACACACCAGTGCATATTGAATTAAAAATTATGTAACTGTGATGAAAAAGAAACCAGGGTGCTACATGAGAAGAAGACGGGAAAGTATCACATGACCAAGACGGGCCTTCTGTGACCTGAAGGAGGATAAGAATGAAGGAAGCAGAGCAGTGCAGGAGGAGGGCCCACACTGTGAAGGCTGAAGGCAGGAAAGAGGGGATTGCTCAAGAAACGGAAGCCCATGTGGTAAAGTGCAGTGAGAGGAGCGTGTGCTCGGGGAGGCAAGCGAGGGAGGGTGCAGGGCCTTATGGGCCATACTCGAGATTACATCAGAGCTGTCCTGCAGCCCATTAGCAGGGGAAAGAGAGGCAGAGTCATATTCATTCCTTGGGGGAGAAGGAACAGAGGCTGGTAGAGGCCCAGCACTCTGGGGTCTGCATGATCTTGCAGTGTAGTGACACCTTCTCTCTCTCTGCTTTCCCCACAGTTCATTTCACTGACACGGCCCCTGGACTCCCACCTAGAACATGTGGATTTTAGTTCTCTATTGCACTGTCTCAGTTTTGAACAGATACTTCAGATCTTTGCCTCTGCTGTGCTGGAGAGAAAAATTATCTTCTTGGCTGAAGGTCTCAGGTAGGCCGAGCCCCCAAATTGCTCACTTGAACTGCCCAGTATCCCTGGGTTCAAGGGAACAGACTGGAGGTTCTCTAAGGAAAAACTGGTCTGTAGGGCCCATGTGCCCACCCCCGTGTGTCCAGGTCCTTGTACTTTAAACCAAGAGAAACAGCTGTTTTGAACCGCCCCCACTGCCTCTGCCTCCATGCAGGACTGCTGCCTGGGCCTGAGGAATATTCCTGACTTATCTGGGAGAAGGACAGGAAGTTTTCCTGGGACAGCCCAGATGGGACCAGTTAGGGTGGATGCAGACATGGTTCTGCCCTTGCAAGGCTGAGGGAGGGTGGAGAACAGGGGAGGAGGTAGATACTCATTTAACAAACATTGTGTGTCACCTGTTTGCCAGATGTCAAGCATTGGGAAGATACAAACAAGACATGGTCCTTCACCTGAAGGGGATGCAGAATTATATGGTGGTTGAAAGCATAGGGATTGAAATCAGAAGAATTAGGAGGTTTAAATCCAGTTCTTCTACTTTTAGCTATGAGGTTCCCCTTAAGTTAGTTTGTTAACTTCTTAAAAATGGAAATAATGATTGTGATGACCTCATCAGGCTGTGGTGAGGATTACATGAAGAAATGCACATTAGGTAACTAACACCCTGCCGAGCACATGTTGCTTAGTGCCGGCTGCTGTTCTTCAGTTCAGTTGAGTATATCCCAGTGTTAATGGAAGCAGGGTACTGTTGTATCAGGGTCTCTACCTCTTAGTGGCTTCAAATCTGAGGAGGACATGGGGAGATGTAATAGAATGGAGAATAAAAAAAGTCATAAAACAGTAGGGGTAGGGGTGGACTTTCTATTCATATCTGGGGAGGGAGAAAACCAATGATTTTAGGTTGACAACCCTGCTTTTATCTTTCCTGGAAGAAGAAAAGGATGTTAGGGAGTCAGTAGAAATCACAGGGTCAGCTGAATGTCATGGGTTCCAGAGAGGAAACTTGGGCAAGCAGTGGGGTCTCTGTGTTGAAGATTCTGTAAAAATGGGTGATGACCAAAAAGGAACTAGTAGTAGGTAATCCTTGAAGGGAGTGGCATCATCTTTTGCTTTGGAAATAGCTCTTTCACTCCCAGCCCTGAATGGAAACCAGAAGTGCCTGTGTGACTAGAGCTGGGATTCTGCCTTTCCTCCTCAAATCAGTGTTTGGGAAGTGGAGGTTGGCAGGATTTACCTCTCAGACGTTTACTTTCTTTAGGGAAATCCTACCACTCCCTACTTCCTTCCCACACTGAGTTTTTCAGCTCTCCGAAGCTCAGATAGGGAGGGGACTTCCAGTCAGTCTAGGCCTTGGCTGGCCTCTCAGAGACTCAAGTTTGCTAATTCAGGAAGTGCTAGCTTGAAACCAAGAACTGAAACAAGGATTCCTGCATCTGTGCTTTTATTGGCCTTGACTTTGAAGCAATTTGGCTGCAGTAAAGAACAGTCACAAAAGCCAGTGGAGAAAAGAGAAGATAGAGTGGGGTTGTGTGTGTGTGGTGGCATGAGGAGTAGGGCCAAGCTGTGACTTGGGCAGGCGTGAAGAGGGATGTTTCACTGCAAAGTCTTGAGGAGACACCTTTGTGGGACTTTCCATGCAGGAATTGCTGGGCAGAGGTTCCTGGAACCTGGGAATTTCCCAAGCTACTCAGGCAGCAACCTGGTAATCTCTAATAGCCTTGAGTGCCCAGAGGGGGCTGTGTAGGGCAAAGGCTGGGGATGAGGGTGGATAGCCATAGGGAGATAAAAAGGCTTTGCCTCTCTGCTGGGCCCCTAGTGCTTACATGTTTGTCTCTTAACTACACTGAATTCCTTAAAAGCAGGGTCAGGGTCTTACTCTTCCAGGTATCCACATCCTAGGGGCTCAATCAATTATCTGCTTGAATGAAAGCAACTCTTCTTCCCTCACCTCTTTGGAGTCACTTTTACTTTTGGTCAATAGTAAGTTGAGAAGACTAACTGGGAAAAGAAGGATCAAATCAAGGCCCCTCTTGATAGTGAAGCCTCAGCCTCTCTAGTTTCTGTCCCTCCCTTCTAGCAATGTACGTTTAAGCTCTGTGTCCAGCATGGTCCCCAGATTTGCCTTTCTGCCACGGGCGCGGGCAGCACTGCTGTAGCTGCTGGTGGTGTTGGGCGATGAGGGGTGTGTAGCATGGAGGTGTAAGGGCCCCCTGACTCTTGTCCTCTGTGCTCTGTCCTAGCACCCTGTCTCAGTGCATCCATGCTGCCGCTGCACTGCTCTACCCCTTCAGCTGGGCACACACCTACATCCCTGTTGTCCCTGAGAGCCTTCTGGCCACAGTCTGCTGCCCCACCCCCTTCATGGTTGGAGTACAAATGCGCTTCCAGCAGGAGGTCATGGACAGCCCTATGGAAGAGGTATGATGTGGCAAGAAGAGTGCACGATTTGGAGCCAGGCAGACTGGGATTCAGATCCCAGGTTTGCTGCTTACAGCTGTGTGATTAGGGGCAAGTTATCTGACCTCTTTAAGCCTGAGCTTTCTCATCTTAAAATGGTGATAACAGTGTTCAGTTCTTAAGGATTCTGGGGAAACCACCTGTGTAGGGCTGTAGGGCCCCTGTGCCCACCCTCCTATGTCTGCATGATCATGCAGTGTAGTGACACCTCTTTCTTTAGTTTCTGTATCCTAACCTACCACCCGACACATGGTTGATGCTCAATAAATGCAGGCTCCCTTCTGAAGGATTTCCCTTTAGGCTTAAGGGGCAGTGGATAGCTTATTCAGGGGTCATCAGACTGTTCTATGCCAGCTGGCCCTACTGAGCAGTCACTGGGGTGTTCCATCTCATCCAAATGGATGACACAGCTGGTCTATACAACACACACCCCACTGGAATGTATTTGAATTCCTTGGAAGTGAGCTAACATCGCCCCCTGGCAAACTATGGGTCTTGAAAATGCAGGTTTTTGCAGCAAGTCATCTTTCTGAGTAGCTCAGAGCTAAGGTTGGTTAATGAGGATATAGGTCTAAATCCTCTTTGATTTTGTTAGCTTCTTACATCTTGGCAGTGCCCCAGACACACCAGAGGACTCAGTTGTCAAAATGGGCACTAAAAGCATAAATCTATCCCCAGTGTTGGAAAAGTAACTCAAAACATGTGCTTTAGAGTTGTCAGTAGGGACTTTGAAAAGATAGCATGTTATTATATCTGAAGCCAGAAGAGGGATTTGGGAATGTGTCCTGGCTATAAACATTGACTCGCTAGAGCCTACTAAAGGGAGAATAGGAGTCTAAAAGTCAGCTACTAAAGAGGCATGAAGGATTTCCCCATTTACATAAGAGATACCTGAGTTCCAGAGACTTATCCAAGGCCACACAGACAACAGTGGAACCTAGCACAGCTAAAACCAAATCCCCTCCTTTAGAAACTATTGCTGAGAGGTAAAGTAGGCTGTTTCCCTTCTTTGCTCCACCGGCCCTGTTGTCCTTCCTTAGGACTGCTGAGTACACATGCCCTTTGAACCAGCCTAAGCCTTGTGACTAACTGGGATAGAATATTAGCCCCATGTTTAGCAGTAAACATTTAAATGTGCCAACCCCAGAAGTTATGAAACTTCCTGACTCTGCAGCTCCAGCTCCCTGGAAGCTGTGACTCCTCTCCTGATGGCCACTCAGACTCTGGCTTTTGGTAAGAGATTACTCCACAGACAATATCCCCAAATACTGGAAAGATTTCTGGGAACAATCGTGAAAAACAAATTATTTATACACACTCTTTCCTCCCAATCCCTCAAAGGAACAGCCTTCCCTTCATGAAGGCATCTGAGCCTATGTATACAAGTGGTTTCAGGCCTGGACTAGTTCAACTTTTCTCCCCTGACGACAGATAATTACAGAGCATGCTCTATTTTTTGGCATACTTTCCACTCTCTCTTTCATTATATTTGGAAGAAGGCACAGTGGAGGGACCATTCTCTCTATTGTCAAGACCAAGGGTCACAAATGGAAAAGAAAGGCCCAGCAGTCATTTAAATGACCAACACAGGAGATGGGTAATTACGGTAAACTGGTGAGAACACGCCCTGCCTAAAGCAGACAGGTGCTACTCAGTTCCATCTGAGTGTTGCCCTTTAGAAATGTGGACCAGAGTTAGATCTCCTGACTTTTCAGGAGAGGCCCCAAATCCAAGTTTTATGTGAGATAGTCCAGTTTAAATACTGGAAACCAATTCAATTATTTAAAAGTACTGTGAGGATCAAAGAAACAGATCTGCTGGTTGGAATCAGCCAGGGGGATGCCTATTTGTAATCTCTAGTCTAGACTGAAGGCTCCCTGGACAGTGATGGAGCCAGTGCTAAAACCGAGGTCCCCAAGTTCCAGCCCGGTGCTTATCTCACCTGAGGACTGTAGACACATGGTCTCCTCACTTCCTTTCCTTCCCTCTTTCTGTTGATCCTGGGCTCATTTCCTTCCTTTGCTGTTTCCGGCTGGAAGGCCCAAAGCTCTGAGGGAGTTTTTCTAATAGAAAATTGTACATAAGTTGTTGCAAGCATGAAAAAAATAGAAGGATGTTGGTCTCTGTCCCAGAGAGCAGGGAGTTGAAGGGGAAATGTAGAGAGGAATGCAGTCTCAAGAGTATCAGTCTAGGCTTGGAAAAAAATTGGTTCTCCTACTAGCAGTATAGTATGACCTCGGGCGGCTTCTTTGGGTCCGTTTCCTTATCTTCAAAATGGAGATGGTGTCTACCTCACAGGACTGTTGCTTGAGATCAAACGTGTAAAGCACTTATGTGTGCAATGTACAAAATGCTCCATGTAGAAGCAGGTTCTGAAGTTCATGATTTATTAAAGGAGTGCCTGGCCGTGATTTCTCCATCTTGTATTCCCTGTCTACCTTAGCTGCTTCTCCTACTCCCTTCCAACAAACACCCCTTTCCCAGTAAGGGAACTGAGATTTCTAGAGGGGAATGGTGTCAAAGGAGAATGCTAGACAGGTAATGAGAATTGAAGATATTGATTTTGTTGCCACCTGGGCTGAAAGTTACAGCCACAGGCAGAAATCGAGATGGTAAATCCTCTGGTGATCTATGAAGAAAGGGGACCAGAGAAAGCCATTCTATGTTTATTTCAGGTCCTGTTGGTCAATCTTTGTAAAGGAACCTTCTTAATGTCGGTAAGTGTCTGGGTTCAGATCCCCTGCAGGCCCATCACCAACTCTACCACTCTAGTTTCACTTATTTCAACAAACATTAAGTTCTTTGTTGTTGAGTGAAAATCTGTGCTAAAAAGACCGCATCTCTCTCAAGGAGCCCATGGACATAAACACAGATGACCTCACTGTAAGACAATCAGTGATTGTGCCTTTCAAGCAAGGGATATAAATCAAGTACCACTGGGATGGAGAGGATCTCTTGCTAATGTTTAGAGTCAAACTGAAGGCCAAGAAACAGCTTATGTTATTTCTGTCCTATGTGGCTGATTATCTGTGGGTGGAGTGGGGGTGTAGAATTCATGACCTCCTCATGCTTTTCTGCCAACTCCCTTCACTCCACACGTCTTCCTGTTTAACCTCTGAGCTCTGTCCTTCTAGGTTGGTGATGAAAAAGACATCCTGCCACCAAAGCTTCAGGATGACATCTTAGACTCTCTTGGTCAGGGGACTGATGAGTTAAAGAGTAAGTCCTTGGGTCCCTCTTATTTTGGGTCTCCCCAGGGAGTGCAAGGGCATGATTCTCAATCATTCCCTTCCAGAACTAAAATGAACTCACTCAGCAGTTCTAGACGAGCCCTAGAGACCTAGAACCTAGGGCAAATCTGAATATGGGATTGTATTCTTTCCTAAGCAATGACAGAGGACCCATACCCAGACCTCCTGTAGCTTTCTCCAGCTTTCAGCCTGCAAGAAAGCCATGCTTGGAGGTGAGTTTTGGTAATTTCATCCTTCTGCTACTCTCTGAGATGGCATTCATTGTCTCTTGCAGCTGCAGAACAAATCAACGAGCATGTTTCAGGTCCTTTTGTGCAGTTCTTTGTCAAGACTGTGGGTCATTATGCTTCCTATATCAAGCGGGAGGCAAATGGGCAAGGCCACTTCCAAGAGCGATCCTTCTGTAAGGCTCTGACCTCCAAGACCAAACGCCGATTTGTGAAGAAGTTTGTGAAGACACAGCTCTTCTCACTTTTCATCCAGGAAGCCGAGAAGAGCAAGAATCCTCCTGCAGGTACACTCTACACCCAGAGAGGGTTACCTCTAGGATAAAGAGGAGGGGGAGGAAAGAATACTTCTCTTTAGAAACCCACAAAATAGCTGTAGGTAGACGTTTATTAGTGGAGTTGAAATGACAACCTGAAACCTAAGAAAATGTCTAATGGGCTGCCAATTTGTGGAAGTTGTTTTTCTCATTAGCCGACAGGACTGAGCCCTTTCCTCTATTTTAGTCTACAGCTAATTCCTGCTAAGTACTCTCTGTCTATGGGCTCCTCTTTGGACCAAACTTAATGGATCTCCAGAAGCTTGTGAAGGCAGAGCTATCCTGCCAGGGATGGGAGTATGGGGAGCATACAGGTTATTTCTGATCCTTATTCCTGAGCTCATTATAGTCTGCTTGACCAGATCAGATGCCTCTAACACCTGTATCTGAACCCACAGGCTATTTCCAACAGAAAATACTTGAATATGAGGAACAGAAGAAGCAGAAGAAACCAAGAGAAAAAACTGTGAAATAAGAGCTGTGGTGAACAAGAATGACCAAAGCTACACTCCAGTTCTGGACTTCAGCCCCTGCCAGTGTGGCAGGATCAGCAAAGTTCTCAGCCCCCCAATCCATTACCTCAATCTTAAGTCTTGACATCCAGGTATTGCTTAAAACTGGTGTCTGAGATTTGGATCCCTGGTATCAATTTCTTGGGGCTTTGGAGGGCTCTGACACCATGCTCACAGAACTGGGCTCAGAGCTGCATTTTTTGCAGGTGACACAGAGTAGGAAACAGTAGTACAGGTATTGTATATACTTGGTTAGAAGCTGCTGCAACTGCCCTCTCCCATCATTGTAACATCTTCAACAGAGAACACACTTTGTGGTTGAAAGGCTCAGCCTCTCCACATAAAGTCTGTGGACATGTAAGGATGAGTAAAGAGGAAAATCTTATGTTTATGTGCGTCTTCGTCTTTTACTATGGGTGGAGGACCAGGTAAATAAGGCAATACATATAAGAATCAAGTGGACTAGAAATGGAGGACCCGGCCATGGGCGTCCTGAACCTGGGGATATGTTTGGAGTAACAGAATCATGGGGGGCAGCAGCTCCACTTCTTTTAACAGGAAGGGTAAAAGATTGGTAAAAGTAGCAGCAGCAGCACTGGACACAGGGCATCAGGGCTTAGGTTTGGAGTCAGGTGTGCTTTCCGAATCCTGGGAGGAGAGTCTGCTCACTGAAGGGAAGCAGCTTCAGTTTTTAATAATTTGAGGATAGGAATTTCAGTCAAAAGCAGCCAGTGAAGAACACTACTTGGCTTCCATAAGTAGGTCTCTTTCCCCATCACTTTCAGTTTGCACTAGTGCTTTACCTTCAGTCTTAGATATCCTACCTCCAACTGATCTTTGAGTAGCACAGTTCTTTAGCTAAAAGTGAAGGGATCTCTGCACTGATGTTCTTCCCCTTTGAGAAAATAATTGTAATTTTAAGAGTCTGAAGGAGTTTAGTGGTCACCTCGTCTCTCCTCCCTTGATACCTCCACTGATAGTTTCTACTCAAGCATTGGGAAGCTTTTTTAGATGAATCTTATTTTCAAAAATTCCACCTTTTTAATGTATTTGAGTGTGGCCCTCAGAAGTTCCTGAATTCTGTACAAAGAACACAAAAGTTTCTGGAGGATGGAATAAGACAAACTGAAGTTAAAGTCAATGTAATTTGATTTTGGGAGCACAGGGACCTACTGCAGGTGGCAGATGTCCCACTGTCCACACACCATCCTGAGCTACACTGCTGTTCTTCACAGCTTCTAGGAATTACATCTTTTTCGGTAGTTTATGGTGGTGCCTAAATATAGTTGTAACTCCAAAGGTTTCAGAACAGGAACTGGAATCCTGAGAATCTTGTGAAAATACTTTCTTATGCCTCATCCCAAATATACTGAATCATCTCTAGTGATAGGACCTGGAAATCTGTACTTTCTTAAAAGGTTCTTCAGGTAAGGTTTGCTGAGGTTTACTACAAATGTACCCTTGATCTGATGCTAATGGTGTATTTAGGGATGAAGGATACACACACTAAATATCTGAGTGCTTTTCAGCTTCCATCTATGCTGAAAAAAATCTGGGAGAATACACACATTTCAATTAGCCCCCAACATCTTGCTTTACAGCTTTAGACCACTAAAGCCCAGTATAGTATAGGAGAGAACACTTCACCAGCATTCAGACTTGGATTCTAATTTTTGTTCTGAAAAAATAGCAACTGACACTGGCATGCCATTTAGCCTCTCCAGTTCTCAATTTCCACTATAGATAATACCTGATGTGTCAGTAAGACAGCTGATGTAACTGTGCCAAACAAGTAGAATCATCCTTCCTTCTCTGTCCTGCTTTGTCCTAGCTTTCAATGTTTGATCTGCCCTAATATTTTCCTGTATGTATTTCTCTATATCAGATGCTAGAGCAATTGCTAGCAAGGAAAGGTAACGACAGACTTTCATTTCCCACTATAGTCTGGCCAACGAATTAAAGGTTTACCTCTCCTTGCTAATCCAATCTACATGGGCCTGATGGAATCATTAAAAGTGCATGCAAGCAGCACCCTGGTTGCCATGTAAGATGGTGTAGCCACTGTTTATTCCTACTATGGAACAGGATATAGATGAAAATCAATAATAAGACACCTCATTTTAGCCAATAGTTTAAATCTTTTCTCCTGTGTCCCTCTTATTCAAGCAACTGAATTACCTGTATACAGTGGAAACATATCTGGTTCCCATTTCAAACTATAGTCCAGATACCAAAAAAGGAGAGTGCCAGAAAAAGAGAGTACAAAGGGAACACGTAGAGAGGCCCAGGCACTTGCTGAAAATTTAGGGGAAGGGGTTGAGATTTCTAAGTGACGGACAAAATCACGTAAATGAAGACTATAACATTAAAAACCCATTAACAGGAAAGATGAACAAAGTTCTTCTTTTAAAAGTTAAAAGGTTTGGTTCTGGATCCAAGATGGCTGAATAGGAACAGCTCTGGATTGTAGTTTCCAGTGAAAACACAGAGGGTGAGTGATCACCACATTTCCAAACAAATTTTACTGCCCACAGACCAGGAGATTCCCAGACGGAAAAGGGCCACGAGTCTCCAGTGCAGCTGTTTCAGTCAGTGCAGCTGTTTCAGTCAGTGCAGCGGGTCCCCGCATAAAAACTCACACAATTCCGGGCGCCATTTCAACTGGTGACTGGAACGCCTGGGAGACAGAGTCGCCCATTCAACTGGAAAAAAAGGGGGTGAAATGGAGCCAGGTGATCTATCTGGCTTGGCTGGTCCCACTCCCACAAAGACCAGCAGTCTGAAACACTCTGGATTGAGAGTTTCACAGCAAGCATAGCTGGACCCGGGACGGTCCAGCTCTGTGGGGGAAGGGCATCCGCCATTACTGAGGCAGTCCACCACTACCAAGGCAGTCTGCCATTACAGAGACAGTCTGCCATTAACGAGGCAGTTCCAACCATATCCCTATAAACAAAACCGCAAGGAAGTTCACACAGCAGTTGGGCAGAGCCCATGGTAGCTCAGCAACGCCTCTGTTGGCAGACTGTGACTAGGCTAACTCCTCACTCAGCAAGGCATCTCTGAAAAAAGGCAGCAGAATGACAGGAACTTATAATAAAGCCCCACCTTTCTGGGACAGAGCACCTGGGAAAAAAAGGTGGTTATGAGTTCTGCAGTAGCAGACTTAAACATACCTGCCCGGCAGCTCTGAACAGACCAACAGAGCTCACAGCTTAGCACTTGAGCTCCTATAAGAGACAGACTATCTCCTCAAGCAGATCTCCGACCCCTGTATAACCAAAGAGACCCTTCTTAAAGGAGAGCTCAGGCTGACATCTGATGGGTATCCTTCTGAGACAAAGATAACAGAAGAAGAAACTGGCAGCAACCCTTACTGTTCTGCAGCCGCTGCAGGTGATCCCCAGGCAAGCAGGGTCTGGAGTGGACCTCCAGCAGTCCTACAGCAGGGGGGCCTGTTAGAAAGAAAACTAAGAAACAGAAAGAGATACCTTCATCAGCAACAAAAAGGACATCCACTCAGAGACCCCATCTGAAAATCACCAACCACAAAAACCACAGGTAGATAAATCCACAAAGATGGGAAGAAACCAGCACAAAAAGGATGAAAATACCCAAAACCAGAACACCTTTCCTCCTCCAAGGGATCACAACTCCTCACCAGGAAGGGAACAAGGCTGGAGAATGAGTCTGATGAGCTGACAGAAACAGGCTTCAGAAAGTAGGTAATAACAAACTTCTATGAGCTAACAGATCATGTTCTAACCCAATGCAAAGAAACTAAGAAACTTGAAAAAAGGTTTGACAAAATGCTAATGAGAATAAACAACATAGAGAGGAATATAAGTGAATTGATCAAAAGAGACAACATGAGAACTGCTGGAGAGGATGTGGAGAAATAGGAACACTTTTACACTGTTGCTGGGAGTGTAAACTAGTTCAACCATTGTGGAAGACCTAGAAATAGAAATTCCATTTGACCCAGCAATCCCATTACTGGGTATATATCCAAAGGATTATAAATCGTTCTATTATAAGGACACATGAGCAGAAAATCAAACACCACATTAACTCATAGGTGGGTGATGAACAATGAGAACACATGGACACAGGGAGGGGAGCATCACACACTGGGGTCTGTTGGGGGAAAATAGGGGAGGGACAGCGGGGAGTGGGGAGTTGGGGAGAGATGGCATGGTGAGAAATGCCAGATATAGGTGATGGGGAGGAAGCCAGCAAATCACACTGCCATGTGTGTACCTGTGCAACAATCTTCCATGTCCTTCACATGTACCCTAAAACCTAAAATGCAATAAAAAAAAAAAGGACAGATGCACATGTATGTACATTGCAGCACTGTCTACAGTAGCAAAGACTTGGAACCAACCCAAATGCCCATTGATGTTAGACTGGACAGGGAAAATGTGGCACATATACACCATGGAATACTATGCAGCCATAAAAAATGATGAGTTCGTGTCCTTTGTAGGGACATGGATGAACCTGGAAACCATCATTCTCAGCAAACTGACACAGGGACAGAGAATCAAGCACTGCATGTTTTCACTCATAGGCAGGTGTTGAACAATGAGAACACATGAACACAGGGAGGGGAGCATCACACACTGAGGTCTGTTGCCGGGGGGATTAAGGGAGAGAGAATTGGGGTAGGGAGTTGGGGAGGGATAACATGGGGAGAAATGCCAGATATAGGTGATGGCGAGGGAGGCAGCAAACCACAGTGCCATGTATGTACCTATGCAACAATCCTGCATGTTCTTTACATGTACCCCAGAACCTAAAATGTAATTATATATATATATATATATATATATACACACACACACACACACACATATATATATATATAAATAAAATAAAAAGTTAAAGTTTCTACAAAATAGAAAGGTCACAAGACATATCACAACAATGCAGTGGACCAAGTTTTCTTATTTATTAAAGAACAGAAATAAAGTTTGCTTAAATTCAAAAAAATAACATTAAAACTTAGTTTATCTTTCCACTGAATAAAACTGAGAAAAAATTGGCTTTCATATCATATATTTATTTAAAAAAATAAAATGGGAAATTGACAAAGTTACCACATTATTCTGCATGCTAACAGGATTTCCCAAGCCTGTGAGAGATAACATTTCTTGACCAATTAAAAAAAAAAAAAAAAAAGAAAAAAAAAAACTTCCTCAACAATGTAGAGATAGGAAACCTTTCAATCCAAATTCAAGGTCTTTATTACTGGTTCCACCTCATAAGCTAGTGGGATGTATCTGTGTCACACGCTGAACTCCTTAGTAAAGAAAACTTGAGAAGACACTAAACAAGGATGTTACTAACAGATGATGATTTGTTAAAATTATAAAGCAATCA